GGCGAGGGAGAAACGAAGCATTAAACAGAGGCTGAGCAAGCCACACGGGCACAACCCACACGGCCGTGTAACCTGGCCATGTGGCCGTGTGGAAATCACCGAGCCTTCACACGGGCAGCTGGGAAAGCCACATGGCCATGTGGCCTGGCTGTGTGAGTCGGGAATTGCTGGTTAAAACCCGATTTTCAGGAAAAGGAGAGAGGGAGAGCTGGGTTTTTGGTTCCCAAACACCCAAGGGACGAACCCTAGAGAGAGAGAGAGAGAGAGCGACTTGGGAACATTCTTGGAGCTATTTTGGAGGATTTTTTCGCCATTGGAGCTCGGGAATCAAGCTTGGATATGGAGATTAAAGATCTAGATTAGATTTCTGCAGTATCTCTCTTCTCTATGGAGTAACTTCCCTTCACTTAGGTTTTGAGGAACCCTAGTTCCATGTGTTAGGATCTTTCTTGTATGAAGTTTTGGATGCTATATTGTTTGATTATAATCTATTGAGGCATGTTTTATTGAATTAATTGAAGCCTGATCATCTTCTCTTGATTTCTGCTTTAACCTATGATAGATAGAATCTGATTAGGTTAAGAGAGCTTCCTTGATTGATAGTGGTGAATTGGTTGTGCGAGAGTCAATCAATTCACTGCTTTCTACTGGTATTCATTCCATTAGTGGAGATCTGTGTGAATCGCCTTAGCAGTCTATCCCGGTGATGGCTAGTCGCCTGCCAGGTATTCTGTCTAAGAGGGCTTGGTCAGCTTAAGAGATTCCAAGCTAATTTAGGATCTTCCGCAGTTTAATCAACAGTAGATCAACCAAAAGTAATTGCAACTTGGACCTAATTGAGGAGCTAGGGGGAATCATACCTAAGTGAGTTCCCAACTTGTAATTAGTAGAGTAGTTAGTAGAGTAGTTTAGTAAATCAATCCTTAATCTAGTTTGCTAGATAATGAACTGAAGCTGAGTAATAGTAAGTCTAGAGACCCGTGGATTCGATATTTATTACTTGTGCCACTATACTGCAGTCCCTTTCATTGGTTACACTTGGCCATTGTTAGGTGTTTTTTTTGGCGTGTCAACCTCCAATCCGCCTCAATGAAAGTAAACTCGACACCTGCATCTACTCCTAAGAGTTTATCAATCAAAACCAAAGACCAAGGAAGAGCCAACAAACACATCGCAGAAAACATACAGAACAAAACAATTGTAAAACATACAAGTCTGCCTATTCTCCGAGTCTCCTCTATGCACCCCTCAAATCCCATTGGTAACCTAGAGTTCCACTCAAGAAGCGGATGGAAGTGAAGAAGGCAAATCAATGAACTCTGATCCATCAAAGAAAAATGAAATTACCTCCAACTCATAGAAGCACTTGAACCGAACAAATCAACAGCATCCAAAGAATGACTTACCAAAGGTACTCTCGCAGCTAAAACGAATAATATCTGATGCAGAGCTCGGGTACTTCCCTTCCTCGGAGAGTCTGTAGTATTTGAATAAAATCTGAAAAGAGTTCAAACGAACCTTATGAGAAAGAAAGAGAGAATTAGTCCATCGAAATACAATATAGAGAAAGAACCAGAGAGAAAGATTATAACCTGATGCTACTTGCCTCGTCAACCCCTTTGTTGAGGGCGCAGAACCACCTTTCACATATACATAAACCCATCAAACAATCTTCAATGTCAAATCCCGCAACCCACCAAACAATACCAGACCAAAGCAGCCCAGTAGGGACAAAGATAATCTATCAGATGATAATCTGCAAAAGGCAAAAACATAATCTGCCATGTAAGGGAAGGCTTCGCCAACAACAGAACTGCAAAGAATATAACAGGGGATTAAGAAGCGAACCTCGCCCAAATTCCAGCGACTCTTTTTGGAACTCCAAACCCCTGGTGTTGCCCACACCATCCTTAAGAACAGCAGATCAATCAACGCCTAACCGTTTACTTCATCTTGCAAAATCTTGTCTGAAACGTAATCACAATAAACCCATGAAAAACAGAACAAAATCATGAACGACAAAAAGATAACAAAACCAAGATTATAACCTGTGCACCGGGGCATTCTTTAAATCCCCTTTCTCTCTCTCTCAAATCTACAACCTGATCGTTTCGAGATCGCCATCTCCCAAACTGGATGTGAAAAACCATCGCCGATAGAAAAGTGAGAGAGAAAGATAGGGGGAAAAGTGAGTGAGAGAGAGAGAAAGGGGAAAGGCCATTGCATCAATTGGAACAAATTTACTGGAATGGAAAAAATAAGGAGATGTCGAGAAGACCACCACCACCTAAAACAACGTGAAATTTCTCCTCGTTCTTCCGGGGGTTCGACGTGAACCGGCTACCGGCCGTCGCAGCGGCCGATTGCGAGGAAGAAGTGGGGGTTTCTTCTCCCAACAGTATCGTTTCGCATACAAGCGGGAAGAGGAGCGAGAGGGATCAGCCGACTACCACCGGATCTGACGGAGAGGATCTCGACGCCGCCGGCTCCCGTGACGGGATCAGATAGTGAAGGCGATGAAGGCGGTGGAAGCGGAGGTGGAGGAGGTGGCAACGGCGGTAGTTGAGGCGGTGGGGATGGCGAAGGCGGAGGCGGAGGTGACGGAGGAGGTGGCGATGATGGGGACGGTGGCGACGGCAGCCGTGGAGGTAAATGAGGCTATAGAGGAGGTGGCGATGGTGGAGGTAGCCATTTTTGAGAGATTGAAGAGAGAGAGGAGGAAGAAAGGAGAGAGTAATTGAGATGGTGTGGCCAAAACCTCTGACTCTCTCTCCTCTCTACTTATTGTTTGCGTGGCGGGGAAAACCCTTAACTTCTCTACGAAGGATCACAATATTCGAGAAACCCCTCGGGACCCGAAGAACAGTGCAACAGTATCCATGGCAAGATAAGAGAAAAAAGCAAAGCGAAACGTACAGATTGACAGGTGTAATAATTAGCAGAAGGTTTCAGAGGGAATAGTTGAGAAAAGCAGAGAAAGAAAAACAGGAAAGAGAAAGCGAAGGGAAAATGAGCGTTCAGCTGAGGGCAACGCGGCACACACAGCAACAACGGCGGGACCCAGATGCAGGAAGCCAACCAATAAGCAAAGGCGGCTGGTCCCAATCGTAGAGGACGCACCAATGGGAGGAGGGTGAACAGTAATTTTGAGTCTAAATGAACAGGAATTTCATGTCTAGGCGTACAGTAACTTGTCTTTGCAAATAACTTGTTCTAATTTCCTCTACACTTTCTCTTTCCGAGCGATTCGATTCCCCAATTGTCGATCTTGCCATCGCTACAATCGTCGCCGCCGCGTCTCCCACACACAAGTTGATGTTGTTGTCGACAACGTTCTTGCCATTCCCGCAACCGTTGGTGCCATATCCACCCTTGCTATTTCATCTTTCTCAATCGTTTGTATCGGCCTCCCTTTCGCAACTTTCGACTATGTCGCCCTCGCCTGAGTCGTCGTCGTCTTCATCGCCCTCGCCTGTGCCTCCTTTGGCCCTGCCACCCTCGCCTGAGTTGTCGTCGTCTTCATCGGCCTCACATGCACTGTCTTAAACTTTGCCGCCCTCGCTTAAGTAACCACCCATGCATCGGCCTAGCCTGCGCCACGGATTGGAGGCCTTCGGATGAGGCGTTCGGCTAAGTTGAGTTCTGTTATGGATGTCGGTGGGTTTAGGATTTCAGATCCGATCTCTTTCTTGTATGTTGATTCTTCAGATCTACAATAGTAGTGATTTTCAAGACTGAGTAGTAGAGTTTCTTCGGAGTTAGTAGTATTTTCCTTGTTAGTAATGTTTTTTCGAGTTGAATTTCTTAGTGATTCTCACTATTAGTATTGTTTCTTTGGTAGTGATTCTCACTATTAGTAGTGTTTTCTTTATTAGTGATTCTATAGTAGAGTAGTGTTTTTCTTTTTAGTATTGTTTTCTTTTCTTGTTACACATGAAGATTAGTAGTGGTTCTAAATTTCTGAAAAAGGAACTCCCAAAATCAGGAATAACAACCGTCAATGAAAAATCCCACAAAATCTGCCCCATTTACTGAAAAAATTAAATTAATTTGACTTTTTAATTGTTCAATTCCTATTATGTCCTTTCTATATTTGTAGCCATTAGATCTAAAAAAATAATAAACGGTTTAGATGCTAGTTATTACGGTGTTAACCCCTTATGGAGTTAGCACCCTAGCTTCTCCCGTATTGTTTGCTTGTGCGATTTGGGTGATGGATTTGGCACCCAAATCCCAAGCATCATGAATTTGGGAAAACTTCATTGTTTGCTAAGGGACACAAATCCCTAGGGGCCACGGTTTTGGACTCCTTTTCTTTAGATCCAAATCTGTGGACCCCACAGATTTACAAATCCCACATTTCATTTGGGATTTGATCATGGAAGACAAAGTTGTGAGACAAATCAATGATAAATCCATGATAAAAATTAACCAAACAAACAATGAACTCTTCCAAATTCATAATATAACAAATCCATCATAAATCTAAAAAATTTTAAAACTCAAAACCCCATTTACAAATCCAACAAACCGTTGGACTTTTTGCTAGATGGATTAGATAATTCATAATATAACAAATCCATCATAAATCTAAAAAATTTTAAAACTCAAAACCCCATTTACAAATCCAACAAACCGTTGGACTTTTTGCTAGATGGATTAGATTAGTGGATTGTGTTCAAATTGTCCCCTCTACATATAAGAAGTTGTTGGGTGTTATAGATTTTTGCTGGTGTCCATGAGTCGTGATTTTGATGGTATACGACTATTAAGTTTAGCTCCTTGACACACTATTTAAGTTTTCTTGTTGTACAATACTGCGACAAGCCCAAAATACTTCACTTTCTATGTTCAATTGGAAAGCCTTCAACTGTTCAACATACTATGTTCAATTGGACATGAATTGCTTTGAATAATCCCAAGTAATCGTAACCTTAGGCTGGACAAACCGAAACCAAAACCAGTGGGAAGAATTTGGTGCTTCCTTTCTATCCATTCACAGTGTGCTAAGGCGTTTCTTTCGATATGAAACTATGAAACGCTACCCTTTTATCGTTGGAAAGAAAAAGAATCAGCTGAAGTTGCAACTCCCGCAACGGAGTCCCTTCAATGTTACATCCTAGAAGATCTAATGAAACAAAAAGAGGAAAAACAGTCTACGCACAATAGACACATCTTTGGTTCGTTGCTTTTCTCCTCCTTCAAGCAACTCCTCTCTGTACAAATGGCTTAAAGCTTTCCTAGCCACCATCAAGAAGGCTTCTTGCTCCTCTTCTTCGCTGTTTTAGCAATGGCATCACAAATCTCTCTTTTGCGTTTATTGTTGTTGCTGGTGACATTGTTATTGTTGACCAACTTATCGTCGTTGGTATTTCCGCCAGTGCTAGCAGGTGCAGTTTTAGCTTGTGCTTCAAGAGCATCCCTCACAAAGAACTTAAGCCTCCACAGAGTAGATTCACTCTGCATGAGATGAAGAAGGTTGAAACATAGCAGCGGTTAAATAAAGATACTGTTAAATCGCCAGGGTAACCTGAAAAAAATACTATTAAATAAGACTTATATGGTTAATAATGACCTGTGCATCAATATCCAGGTCCACTTCCTCGGCTGTTGCTTGGAATTCTGGGTTATTTTGAGCAACGATCTCCAGTGCTTTTGTGAGATCTTCAGGAGACAATCTTGTTAGGGCTGCCCCTAGCTTTCTTTTATCTTCAGTGGACCATTTTCTGCAGCAGGAGAAGATATATAAAGTTAATTAGCATGCTACAGCAGACAAATGGATGGCCAGTTCTACAGATATTAAATAAATAAAATACAATGTCAACTAACAGATCTTCCTTTTGACTATGTAAATCAAGGTTAGCAACTTGGTCATATGAGACAATTTTGTGGCTACCCATTGCTATGTAACCAAGAGATGAATTCCTCAAAGAAAGAGACACGATGCACCAAACATATCTAGATTAAGAACACGAATAGTATGTGTTGTTAAGCATGAGGTTGTAACATAATGTGGATGTTATAAGGAATGGGGAACGGGGGAAACGATTCGCAAATCAGAACTATGCCAAAACGAATCTGGGTTTACTGAGATTGATCAGAATAGAGTATAAAATAGAGTATGACAAACCTGCAGTTTTGAACAACCATTTCTCTAAGCTCGTCAAGATGCATTTCGAGTTCATAAAGCTGAAAGTGATAGAGCGGGTCAGTAATTTTAATCTCTTCACATACCAATCCCATACGATGGGATCCTTTGGCTTCTTAAAATTATATCACTGCACAATGCAATTGCAGTATTACCTCATTGCTCAAATCTCTAGTGATTTTAGCATGAGCAGCCTCCTGGGCGAGCTGCATGTCCAACTGAGCCTCGGCTTCCTCCTCTTCTCTCCTTCTCTCCTATGAGTAAAAGAGCTAGGTGTTAATAGTGGTGCAGAAACAAGAAGCAAAAGTCATTAATTTTAGAAAAGCTGGATCAGGATCCGAAATCATTGACTAAGGTAGCTCGACAGAACATTACCTCTTCGGTGACTTTTGGAAGAAATTGCAACCATTTCTCTTCAAACTTGTCCATCAAAGTTTTTGCCATGACATGAACATCACTCCTTTCTTCGTTATATTTCATTGCATTCTTGAAAACCAACCTCACATCCGCACATATCTCCCTGACATTCTTATAACCAGTACCATCCTTGGCCTCCATCTGATTTTTTATCGTACTGAAGTCCATCGGCTTGTCAATGACCTAGTGAATGCCACATGAATCAAATCAATCGACCCAATAAAGAAGGCAAAATATTCAAGGTTAACCACAAGGGATTACTTAAAAGAACCTCAGAGCTAGAGTTGCTAATCACAATATAGTCAAGGTAACCCACAAGTGCATACATGCTAAGCAGCAGATATACTGGGGTTAAGTAATTCACAATTCACTACATGTAAACTTCGCTTGCACAAACTTCGGCAAGAATGGGCCAACAAAGAGGAATCAGTCATTTCCACTAATAAGCAATTTCAACCATCAGGTGACCTGCCTCTTTTGGTAAAAGAGTGAAAATTTGAATACTTTACATGTTGCTTCATGTAGATGCAAGTACTGGAAAGATATACACAACAACTCAAAGTAAACATGTGAAACATTGCAAATTTTCAGTCATTCCGCACTTGAAGTTTGTCCAGCGGGAAATCACTTTATGCTACAAATACCAATCCTTCCACACAGCAATTAGATAGTTCAAATTACCAGTTCCAAGACCTTTATGAAATATGCCACTGATACTATCATCAGTAGTGAAGTTTTAGCCGTCCAAGACTTTAGCAAAATCCATAACCTACGGTGCGTAAGAGGATTCATAATGTAGAGAACCGGACAGCATAATGTGTTCAAAACTAATCCATAACAGATTAAAGCTTCTTCAGAAAACAAAAATGCACTGTCTTGCAATAACCAGAAACCAGGACAACAACAATCAAACATAAATCAAAAAGATTTCGCACCTCAAAGTAGTCATGTAAGCCAAGACCTTTCACATCCACTGGTTGCATAAAAGGCCACGCCCATTTGTGCAGCGTTAACTGAGAGAGAGACCACCAAGATAACAGCTTTTAGAGCATTCAAACATCCAAACCTTAATCCCAAATACCCAAACATCAAAGGAAACATGAACAATCGGAAGCAAAATTACAATCTACCTGCTTAAGAACGGTTCCAAATTGACGCATAAGCTCCTGCATTCTCTTAGCAGCCGCAGCTTCCCGCTTGGAAGCGTCTTGCTGCTGCTTCCTAATGCTAAGAACCTGCTTTTCCTTCTCTTTCTCTTTCACGACCGAACTCCCTTTCGAACCCGTTTGCTGCTGCTGCTTCTTGCTCAAGTTCGTATAGAATTGTTCCACCTCGTTCACTTTCTCCTCCAGCTTTGAACAATAGACATTCCCGTAAATTCCCACATAAAAAGCTCATCTCTTTCGGAGAAAACGGAAGCCAAAAGATGAGAACTTCAGAATAGATGGTTTACCTTATCGACCTTCTGGACGACTTCGTCGACGCGGAGCCTCAAAACCTCGACTTCGGCCGGGTTAGGGTTATGCTCGGGTAGGGCAGCGCCGAAATCAGGGATTGGTGCTGCAACGGTCTCCATTGATCACCGGTAGGGAGGGGCAAAAGGTTGTGAAAATTGTAGAAAAATTTTGATTGTCTGAGGACTCGAGGAAAGCGGGAGGGACTAAAAGGATATGGGAAAAACTTAAGCCGCCGGAGGGAGGAGGCGAAGAGGAAGGAGGCAGCGGTGGGCGCCTGGGCGGTGTGAGAAGCGAAAAAAGGGGTCCCTGCTGCTGCCGCCGCTCTTGGGAAGAAGATCGATGGCTCAAGCAGGAGATAGTTTGAAGAGGCCGTTGGTATTGATGGACTTGTGCTTTTCTGCAAAAGATCATTTTAAGTTGTGCTGGACATATGGGCCAACTAGCTAATGGGCTTGGGTCTCGTAATTTTGTTAGGTGAATCTTTTGATTTTTCTTTTCCTCGCCCAATTACGGCCCGTTTTAGTTGGCCGTTTTGGATTGGTCTCGCACGATTTTACTTTTAAATAAATCACGAAAGTTCATACATCTCCACACGGCTTCACAAGAGCACGTTTGATTTTATAATATTTATAGGAATTCCTTCATTGCACCATAAAATGTGTCTTATCAGTTAATGTTAAATTGTTCCTTAATGTTAAATGGTTCCTTATCAGTTAATGTTAAATTCCTATTTCATTCCTCGAATAGAGTATTGTTATATTAGGGTGTTTTCGATGATATGAACATTTTTGTGCAAAAAGGAGTTACAAGTGTAGGATTATTGGAAAAATCAGAGATCGCAACCAATAGCAAGCAGATGACGACCATGAAGAGAGGGCGTGAACCAGAGCATGAAGATTGCTCCCTCTATGGCCAAGATCGTGGCCACTAAGTGTGAAGTCCAGGGCGCGAACTTCAGGAGTAGCCACCAAGGGAGGACCATGAAATTTCCTTTGTTGACCCGAAGTCCTAGTTGTCCGAGCCTGCGATAAAGTTTACAGCCGTGACATCTCGGATCGCGACTAAGATGTCAGACTGCGAACTCCGCACCCTGCAAGGCGTAAATAGACAGCTTTCGAGATCGCGACCTCGACCCAAAAGATCACCCTCGTGATCTTTGCTTGATCAACCGTGAACTTGACCGACAACTTGATCTCTATAACTACGGGACTCCTCCTCTTGAGTAGAGGGTTTTTGGTAGATTTCTTGTTCTAGACTGATGGTTAGAGAGAGATGTACAACAGTACAAGCTTGGAGAAGAATAGGAGGAGGAGAGCTTTGGAGGAGGATTTCCATTTTCCAGAACTTGAAGACCCTTTCTTCATGATTTCTTTTCCTCTTTGCATGTCTTTCCTTCCCCCACTTCATGTGTAGTCCCTCAATTTATTTTGAAACTTGGTCCCCCAAACGCTAACTTAGGGTTTGATATGTAATAAGATGTTTTAGATAGGCTTGATTGTAGATGATTTTGAACCTATCGATCTATGGCTATTTGATGTTTGTTCATTCTTGCATCAATTAGTATCGAATTGTCTGTATCCCATTTTCCCTAGTTGCAACTTAGACATATAGGGAATTTATCATATTCTTTCTTGTGGTTCATGGATGAATTGAGTTTGCCTAGCATTTTATGCTTCATCTGTGATTATATATGCTTGGCTTGTCTCTCTAATTATTTTCATCTAACTTACAACTTAGGAGTTTATGAATTAAACTGGATTTGAGAGCCTTAAGGTAATAAGGGTTAGATGAATATCCAGGATTCTAGTGTGGTGGAACCCTTCCTATTAGACGTACACCTAGGTAATGCTAGGCTGTCGAGTGCGTGACCATTGACTTGGTGGTCTAGTGTGCGGATGGATAAAACCCACTTAGAGGAGATATGTTTTGTCCATACAACATGAAGCTAGTTTTGGTGACATTGGTCTAATGGATCGGTATAGGGAGTGAGATCAGTTGCATGACCATTGAGTTGATCCCTAGGTTAGCAATATCCACACTTCGTTCTCCATAAGTTGTCATTCTATCCTTTTGCATGTCATTTCCCGCAGTTAGGGCAAGAGAGGCACCCCGAGTATCTCTTCTTCTCTATCGAACTCTAGTTCAGTAATCGCCAACTGCCCACCTACTAAGTAATAGGTCGACTATATAACAACAGAGTCTAAGTAGCCTAGGATACCATGACCATTGGAATATGACCTCGATCACCACTATACCACTTCGCCGATCTAGGGTGCACTTGTCCTAGATTGGGGTAGCTAGTATTATCGAAAATCGAGTTTATAAATGTAAAGCTCGATGCGCGATCAACGCTCGTTAAGTTTTTGGTGCCATTGCCAGGGAATTACGGTAACTAGTTGAAAGAGTTAGATTGTTAGTTTAGTCTTAATTTTTTATAATATTACTATTTCGTAAAAGTGTGTGTTTTTTGTGTTGTTCTCTTTCGATTTAGTACTTTTTATTTTGTGTTTTGTTGACCCACTTTTCTCCCAGAAGGGTGGTTTGTGTTGGTTTGATTTTGTTTTAGTGTTTGTAGTAGTTGAAACATGGATCCTTAGGAATTAAATACGTGTGTGCGTATCAACCATCCATCGAATGCTGATACCCCATGACTTTAAGGAGAGATGAAGGGCAAGGATCACAGTTTCAAGAACAATCACCTCTCCATGATCATCAAACGTACCTCCATGATTAGCGAGCTCCACCAATATCATATCAAGAACCACCTCTACAAACTAGGGTGAAGACCGAGTCGGAGATGACCCTTGAGCGATTTGAATTGAGTATGAAACAAGTGAAGGGCATCAATATGATTCACCCCGACATTTTAGTCTAGGTCCGACCAAACGATTCGGTTGACGGTTACGTACAAAAGGTTCAACCGTAAATTAGGGATAATAATAATAATATTAATGATAGGGCAAAATTGAATGCTTCAATTCCTATCTTGTAGTAAAACCGAAAAGTCTGGGTATCGTCTCTCAGGGACTGGTACAACCTTAAGTTCTATCAATTTCGTAGAGCAAACTATAGGTGAAAAAGGTTTAATGAGATTATCAACTACTAGCAAAATAATTGAACTAATTAAGCAAAGTAAAATGGTCGAGAGAAAATCAATGGGAGAAAGCTCTGGGAGAAACACCGGGATTCACTACCTATCCTATCCAGATTAATTCACATATTCCAATCAATTTAATCCATACCTCTACAGCCAGGATATCACGAATGTGCTAGTTATCCCTGTCGGGAATTACTACGTACTAAATAATCAATTCAAATCCTACTGTCGTAGCTCAATGAATTAACTATAGAGTCTGAAGATCGATATCCTATTTAAGACCGCATAGCACCTTATTTAATCCACTGTCGCTTCGATAAGTTACTACGTCACATGAAACAGGTTTGGTTAATAGGGTTTCACTGTCGCTAATAACCTAATTAACTACAAATCATTGTATTGGTGGCCAGTCAACACAAAGCATTAAGCAATTCCATGCAATAGAGATTGGAAGAAAAGAATCATAAATCAATCCATCAAATCAAGCAATAGCTACATCCTATGGTGTTTCCCCCAGAAATCGGGGTTTAGTTCATGACGAAATTAAGATAAATCGATAGGGTTTTGTTCATCATGTTCTAAATCAACAATAAACAACTAATTCGGTTCAGAGAATCCAATCAACTAATCGCTCTCGTTGAACTCTGCTCAGACAGCTTTGAAAAACTGATCGCCAATTTCACAATCGCCGCTCGTCCCAAAGCTCTTGCTTCGCCCGCTGCTTTTCTTCCTTGATTAAATTGCCCCTCGAGAATTCCTCTCCCAGATGCTGTGCGCTCTCTTTCTCAAAGAGTTTTTCGCCTCTTTCAGAGAATAAAGTGCCGCGCCCAGAAAAAGAATTACCTGGTCCAATTATTAATTGCCTCCCACCCTTTTGGCCGCTCTTTCTCTTTTCAATTAAAAGAAATTCCGTTCCACCCCCCAAAAATTGCCTTTCTTTTCCTTTCTTTGTTCCCAGAGACTTCCGCTGCCAGCTCAAAAAGAATTACCTCCTCCAATTCTTTTCCCCCAGCTCCGTTCGCCCTGCTCAATCATTCCGTGTCCCAAAACAATCCAAAAAATCCGCCTAAATTGCCTGTCTCCTGGAAATCACCGGCCCAAACTAATTGTCCTCCCCATTCCGTTCTTTGGCCCATGTCATTAATCGCCATCCAGCTGGGCTTTAAGCCCAGCATTCGAGAATTGTTTGTCGGTGCAACTTCTTTTTTCGTGTTTTCTTCACCTGATACATTCAACTCATGGCACTAGGCAGTAATGGTTTTTCAACCATTCTCGGGTTAGCGAGTCCTAAAATAGCACCAATTGGCTAAAACATACCACGGATAATCACATAAAGTCCAAGAATCCGATATATTAAAGCCAAATATCAAATAATAATAATAATAATAATAACTATCATTATTATTGTATTATTATTATCATTATCATCTTAAAAAATTCATCATCACCTGCTCATATTCCCCATATTCCCCACGTTACCACAATTAAAACCCCACCTTTGAAACACTCACATTCCCTTCAAGACCTGGCAAATTATAACCCGATTCGTTGACCCGACCAGACACCGCCCGAAAACTATAATTTTTTATAATCCGAAATCCGAATGACTCGAACCCAATAACCCGTGATTTTTTGGGTCGGGTCGGGTGGGTTAGCGGGTCGACCCGTTAGACCCGTTCCATTTAATATATTACTCCCAAAATATGATAAAATCACTCATAAATTGGTGAGATGTTTAAAAAAATCACAAAGATTTGAATGACATGTTTGGAGTTTAAGGCTAATCAAATATCAAGTGTTTCTTGTATTAGTATTACTCTTGTGATTGTTTTTTGACGATTTGCGCAATTTATATTTCATTTCATTAGCGTGAGAGGATTTGAGAATATGTTAATTGACATGTTTTAGGTAAACTATTGTCATGCATATGTGAAAATTTGTCTTCTTTAAGAAAATATGAAGCATGTTTGATATTGTTTCTGAGAACGCTCATAACCCGAAATGACCCTTAACCCGACCCAAAACCGAATGGGTTGGGTCAATATTTGACCCGAAATAAGCCAAGCAAACATGACCCTACCCGTAACCGAAGTTCCCAACCCAAAATTACCCAACCCGACCCGATTGCCAGGTCTAATATTAAATCTCCCACTCCATGTAACACTCTTAATATTAGACTCCCATCCCCACCGTAAACCGAGGGAAGCAGAAGGAACGAAAGGAAAGAAAGGTAGAAAGAAAAAAAGAAAAGAGGAACGCCAATATCCACGAGA